CTATAACAGCAATAAATTAAGTTACCGTTCAGAGGTCCTCTTGACGCCCTGTCCCTTCCTGAAACCGTAATCGTCGCATTTGACGGCGACATCTTTGTCGTAAGTGTAGGATGTAATTGCGCAACTTTCTGGTCCGTAACCATCGTACAAGAGGTTGGTGGTGCCCCTGTGTGTGTTGACGACCTCTGGGGAGCGCATCCGTTTAACGCTAGCATCCCTCTCCAACCTCTGCAGGATCTTTTGGTTTTGTTCACACGTGTATGTGTGGTGTAGCTGCTGCTGGTGCTGCTGTTTTCTGGGCTTCCTATCCAAGCTGAACTGACTGGCGTTGTCCAACCTCGACATGGATCCGAGGTTGCGGTTTGCGGCTACTATATTTTGCTCGCTACTGTATTTACCCCTATGCCTTTGGGGATATACGCATTTGCAGTGCATCTCAAACTCCTGCGGCGCTTGCTGTGATTGATAATTTGCATTGCTTTCTCGTCCACTTAGTCGACTATCATATTCGATGAGCAAGTCTTCGCTGTTACCATAATTGCCGCTTCTTACGTTCTCGTAGTATTCGTTATCGTTGGGAGGTGGAGGTGCGTTCGCTTGGGTGTATTTTGACATCATCCTGTAATATAACGTAAACGCTACATATTAGTTAATAATTGGAGGTATTCGACGACATTTAGGGGGGAGGAAATTGCGAGTGGATATAAAATGGAAGTCGAACGGCGGTGCACAAAGGGCGCACGCTGCGAGGGTGGAAAGCCGACCGACTACGAGCTTTAATATTTGCATTTAATGGGATACCAAACGTTTTTGAGTCGAAGCAGAAAATGTCAACTTTGTTGCACACATTTCCAGCTGCGGAACGGACATTAAACGGATTACAATTCAAAATGCGTCTGCTCACAAAGAAGCCTTTCGCCCTTGCAACCCGTAACATTCACTTGAAGGCAATAAATTCGCGGAAATAAATTTTATGCCGAAGCAAATTTCGTAAACGCAATCGACAAATTCGTTCAGAAATTTTAACGTCTTCGTCCTTCGCCTCCTACGTAATGTAGTCGGGGCTGCGAATGACGTTGATAGCGTCCTGTCTCCGAAATGATTAATTTCGGAAGTTATTAATTATCTTTAGGGCTGTTGCGTCAAACCGCAACACATTTTACTTGCAAAAGATAATTGCAAACGCCTTTTTGGATATCCTTGGATACAAATAACTTTGAAATTGCAGATTAAATGATAGTGTAAAGCATTCATATATACACATTTCCTATGAAATAGTCATTATTTAATAATACCTTTACATGAACTCCCAAGAATACATCAATTTGTATTATTTCAAGATTAATTCTAACAAATGCCACAATTATTATTTCTAAGAAAATATGGAGCGTCACACGCAGTTTCCCATATCAATTACCTAACTACATAAATATATTGATTCATAAATTGAATTAAATTGCTATTGTAATGTATTATTTAATTTATATGAATCTAGGTCATAATTACGCTACAACAAATATCTGTATTGCCGCAATAAATTTAAACTCTTTTCCTGATATTTATTGCTAAATAATGCATAGTTAAATCCGCAATATTATACAGCTTTTTAATTAGAACCTTAAGTTGGTAAAATTATCAAATACATACAACGCGAACTATTAGTATGTAATTTGTTAAATATATAGAAAAATATTATTGTTAGTTTTACGGAGCAACATTTTGGTATTTATTGGTTATAATGAAATCCATGTCTGGTGACATTATTTATTCTAAGGTATTTGCTCATTTATCATTGTATATTATGTTTTAATTATATTCTTAAGTTGGTACACTTGTAATCTGAATACCGCAGATTATAAACTTGCGAGTAGTTTTAAGAAAATGTTACATATTGAATTGAACTGTAGATATTTGATTTTTCGTATGAAACGTATGAAGGATTGAATATTCGTTTTAGTCGAGTTCTTATCTCCAGTCGCAGTGGATTCCTGTAGTGTTATCTCGAACATAAAGTGAAAAAAAAACGGGCGTGAGTGATAAGGAATTTCGATAGTAAGGCTGCAAACATATTGAAACATTCCATATCAGTGCGAGTTCTAGACACGTGCGTGCGATGTGTATAATAGTTTCACAGTTGGCAATTCGTTCATGTTTAAAATATGTACAGAATAGAAATAAATAAAACTAGGTGAATAGATGTGGGTAGAACCTTTATTAATTTCCAAATTAAACACATGAATGTATGATGGGGGGCCTATCCCAATTTCTGGAGCAGCTCCTGCTTCTCCTGCTCCTTCTTACGGACAACATCGAAACTGCGATTCCTCCAGCTGCTCTTCCTGAGCTTGATGGGTCTGCTGCCCACGTACTTACCGTTCATCTCGCGCATGGCCTTGGTGAAGTCGTCCGGCTGCTTGAAACTCACGAACCCGTAGCCCTTGCTCTTGTTGCTACGCTTATCCCTGATGACCTTTGCCTTCATAAAAGACGGATAGATTTTGAAGGTCCTAGTTAGGAGTTCGTCGGTCACGTCGTTTCCCAAATCGCCGCAGAAGATTCTGAAATCGTCATCGCTCCAATCGGCCAAAGAGTGGTCCTCCCATGTGTGACCTCCGGAACTACGCATGAGCTTCTTGTTGTTGGTGCGCGCCTTCTTTCCAGGTGCAAACGATTGCATGGCACTGCTGGCCTTTCCTTGGGAGATCGCAACGGAGGCATTGATTTTCTCGTTCTTAAGCTTCTTCAGCTTCTCCTGGACAGCACTATGAATCGCATCAAAATGTTGGGACGTAGATGCTTGCGGCTGATAATGCTGTTGCTGCTGCGGCTGCTGCTGCTGCTGCGAGATTTGAGGTGCAGCTGCAACGGCGGCTTTAGGCGTCGAATACCTAACACTTTTACCACTTAACACGGCAGGCTGTGCCTTCACATGCTGCGGCATTAACATCCCCGGATTGTTATACCCGGAGATCTCAGCCTCGAACCTACGCATCTCATCTTCGATGAAATTACCACGGTACATGTTGAGCTATCACTCGACAACACTCAACTGATGACTCGAAACTATTCTCACTCAGTGTATATACCAACAGAAAAAATCCAAACCATCACAAAATATTTTACAAGGGTGCAGAATTTAAAGTCCTT